AGAAGTTGCCGACGGCCGAAACGTGAAACTAACATCTCATCTGAAGACGGGGACGAAAGTCCGACAACTAACATCAGTGAGTGTCCGTGACCCGATGTTTATGCCCCTGAGGTCATCTTAGGTCACGAATAGTGGTGTCAATCGGTTACCAAAATTTCGGTATACCAATACCGAACCGATACCGACTCGGTATTCGGTATTATATACCAAAAGCGTTTAGTATTTTGTCGGTATTATGAAAATCAACTACTGCCATAAAAGATTTCAAAGCATTTTTGATAAACCTTCTGAACTCAAATTTGAATTGCTAAATGATACTGGATGAAGAAAAAACGGCAAACATGACACATTTCTCCCAAATGCATGATGTCCTAACAAATGGGCAAACACATTAACTGTAATATCAAATACATCAGACTACCAATGTTAAATGGCAACTTATCATGATCAGTGTTAGCAAATTCCAATACCATGAGGATAATTATCTTACAAAGAAAGCCAATGTGCAAGACATAAGCATGAATAAATGTTTAACTCACTGTATGCTGGAAAACATGCTTTAACTACCTTTCTCAAAATTTCCAAAGCATTTATTAGCAACAAATTTGACTTTGTTTTGAGGAGTCTGTGATTGATCTTGACCTTGTCTTGCTCTCCATTTCACTGCAATGCAAGTACAGTGGATCTTATTAGGATCTCCAGACGTAACTAGATGGCGTTGAGCCTTAGTCGAGTCCATGTCAAATTCAAGGAGAGGTCACTACCGAGCTGGGCCCGTTGGGGAGGTGGGCGGGGAGGGGGGGGGGGGGCGGGTGGCGAGGTCACTGTGCGGGTGACCTGTCAAACAGCCCCGGCGCGGTGGGGCACTGCCGCAGGCAAATGGCCCACTCCAGTGTTGTTCCATATCGCGGTAGTGGGCCGGGCGGCCGGTTAGCTTGGCAGCTTGGAAGGAAAGGATAATGAGGCATGGTTTTGCTGTGGCCGGTTCACCTACTGTTACTTATGATGCACCCAGAGTAATGCAAATGTCGCGTTGATAATGCAGCTGGCAATGGAATGCTAGCGAATGCTCCGAGCGCCTAGCTATAAGGATTAATATTATCTATGTCTCCTGAAATTTTCATTGAATATAATTCAAGCACTAGAAAGATCGTATTCGTTCCCCAGTTTTTTGACCGGCTGGCGTTTCTTGCGTAGAGCGCCCTTGGGCAAATATTTAGGTATAACGCAGGTGATTTTTTTTTGCTGGTAAGACGCCTTTAGGGTCAAATCAAGCAGTGGCGGCGGAACACCTTTAATGAAGTGGGGGCACTGCCGACTTTTGGTCCCATTCTTTCCATGCAACGCCCATAGGGCTAATGTTAAAATGCCAAAAATCAAGCGGGGGCACGGTGCCCCGATGCCCCCCCCCCCCGTTCCGCCACCACTGAAATAAAGTCGCTAAGAGATGATGAGGAAAAGTGGACGAACGCCACAATTCTGTGCATGAAGTCTCGAGTTATAAAAAGCTAAAAGTTATTATACGTGTAAGCTAAAAAAACAATAAGATCAGTTAATAAAAATATTTGACCCGAAATTAACTTCTGTTTTGTCTTACCATGATTGCATGTATGACCCCAGTCCTGCCTGGTTCAACTCGGCCCAACCTGGTTCGGCTCCCTCTTTTTTTTATATAAATTTGGCCCGAACCTTTTGAATGGAAGGAATCACAAGGACAGAGTCCCCGCTAAGCTGAGCTTGTCAAGTGTTGACCCTGCCATCTACCCTCCGATCAAGCAATTCCTGGTCCATTGCAGACTATGGTTTTGAGGTTTAGTCTATGGCAAAATGGTCTATGGTTTAGAGTCCAAATTTTAACGTGCGCACATAGCCGCGCACGGCCGGTCCCCTCACTGACTTCGCCTGGCAGCGGGCTGCCACCAACCACAACCATACCCGTCAGGAGGCTAAAAAAACTCAAGCACACGTCGTGTTTCGAACCCGGACTTTTGCAACCGGGACGTGCGCATTCACCACATGGCACATGGAGTCTAACGCTCTACCGACCAAGCTACCGGGACGGACATTTACCTCGGGGTTTCGCCTCGTGACATTGACAGACGTCAGACACTTTGGCCGAACTTTAGCCGAAATACTGAGCAAGCTGCGCAGGGCGATAGGTGCTCGTAGCGTTGAGGTTGGGTAACCTGTGAGCTGAACGCGATGTCGTGAGTTCGAGCCCCACTCCCGGGTCTGGTTTTATCTAGACACTACCAAACCCTTTCCTTCTACTGCAACACAGCTAAGCACGATGACATCTTTCCCCAATATCCTCCCCAAAAGTCAAAATTATCGCTTATAAACGTTTAGCTAAATTTCATTTTTAGGAAAATATTTTTGGTCATTTGTCTGGAGCCATTTCAACTCTTTTTTCTTTTCTGATTCTTTTCGACCCGATAAAACCCACCAAAACTGAACGTGCCAAATGAAAAATATCGAACTCAAATAACAGTTTAGAAAAGCCTCATCATGCATCATGAAAAGCATCATGCAACTATCGACTGAAAAGTTGCATGCTATGAATACGTCCTAGATTTCAATTATCATTGTTCAACATTTTGGCTGGAACTGACGCTACCTCTGGCTTGCCCGTTTGTTTGAGATAATGATTCCCTTCAGTCGCGTTCTTGCCGGTTCCACATGAACAGGATACTGCACCATACCGGAGTGAACGCACCCGCAACCATCATCCCCTCCCCTCAGCCTCGGCGCAGTGGCGGGCGGCCCTGGGCGGCCACTCCCGGCGCTACGCACGCCCCATGCGTCGTGATACCGCGTCACTCCCCCTCCCTCCTTCCCCCACAATGACCGGTGACCTCACTTCCCTCGGGATTTGGACTCGCCCTACCCCGACCGTAGCGCCACGTGGTGGCTCTGGAGATCTTAAATAGACCCACTGTACATTATCAAACACCCTGTTTTATACAGCACTAGCTTCACCATTATCATCTAATATTGAAGGCAGCATTTGTCACTTCATCATCACCCCACAAATCTTCAACTTCGCTAAACTTCAAAAAGCCTCTGTAGTGAGCGATCCTGTCATGATCCTGTAGATAATTAATTTTTTTTAATTAGTATTCTCTTTCCTGCTCTCCTCAACAGATACCTATAGATTGCTAGCAATGTAATCAAAAGCATTCCTAAAATATAATTGGTTTTTGGCTTGATTCGCACACAGCAGTTTCCAAACTGAACACATCTAAAAACATTTCAGTGTCGCAGCTGCGCCAAGTACCGATGTGCTCAATAGCTAATTGAAAATGACTGAACAACTTTGTTTTTCTGGTTCTTCATTTTTCGGCAAAAGCGCCCTACAATCTTTCTTGAATTAATTTTAAGATGTCAAAATATATGCAAGGAATTTTGACTTAAGTGGACTAAAGCAAAAAAGAAAAGAAAAACTTTATTCTATACAGTTATGTGCCTAAATCACGCCTAAATGCAAATGGCCGCCGCCATAGTGGAAGAGATGACACGTGACATGTGTCGATGCTTCCGTAAAATTATGGACATTTTACTTAGCTTTCATCGCGATATTAGTACAGTGGTGTCTGCTGTCTATCAGTGTGCCTCGTAGGTAATTATTTTATCAAGTTTTGTTGTGTTAAATATTTGTTTGTGAAGAAAAATTGGCTGCGTCAGTATCGTCACCAATCGCCATGCTACTTGGGTTGAACCGTGGTTGAACTGTAGGTATTTTGGGTTTTGTTTACATTAATGGTGTAGCCCATCATTGTCAATTGGGTCACCACTTTTGGATCATGATAACACACTTAACCCTGTCTTGACCGGGCTGGAATTGAATGACTTGAAATGAAAGAACGTTTGATGGTTCAGTTCAGGGTTCAAGTTATTGTTTTAACACCTCATGCAGATGACTTGAATCCACATCCCAGCTAAATAACTGACCTGAATATTTGTTAATAGTTACAAAATACAGTTATAAATGTTTTTTTTTTTACAATGCAAATAATTAAGAGATTGCCTGATTTGTTTTTGTTACCTTATTTTAAAGTATTAGGTATCTTTCAAGGCTTACCTATCATATGTCTTGACAAAGTTTGAAGCATTTGTTTGATAATTCCCTGATTTCGGTATCTAGTCGGTATTTCTCCCTATTTCTGAAAATCGGTTCGGTTTTGGTATACTCTCAGTGGTTTTGGTCGGTATCGGTTTGGTATTGGTTTCCAAAATTTCTGAAATTGACATCACTAGTCACGAATGGTATCTAACAGTTTTTCGCAAACAACTTTTGATAGAGGCATGCTAGAGCGATGAAAACGCCTTAGATGTGTTCAGCTCGACGATACGGATCGACTGATATGCAACATGACCGTTTCCGGTCAGGTCATGACCTTGACCTGAGGTCAAATTTTCAAGTTGACCTTTCAAGGTCAAATTATAGTTCATTCGATGCGTCTTGACAAGAGGAACACGATGCCGGTAAAAGTAAGCTCGTACAAGGCTTGGATCAAAAGTTATTGCAGAAAACTGTTTCCGAAAAATCGGCTATTTTTGCAGTTTTTGCCCCCTGCAGGCAAAACCGTTGACGTTAGGTCAAGTCTGAGGGAATTAATCAGAAAGGGCGCTAATAGGGCTATTGAATGCGCTTTTCAGCGGCGCTGTAGCTCTATTGGTTCCTGAGTTATGCGTTGGCTTCTTGGAAATTGTCGACATTCGACCTGGAAATTGGCGAAATTTTGCCTTCAATGACCTCTGGTGACCTGACCTTTGACCTGACCAAAAAATTGACTGAAGTGATTTCGTCATTATTTTTGACGCTCTTTCGAACGCCCCCCCCCCCCCCAAATTGATTCCCCCCCCCCCCTCCAGCCGAAAATCTCTGGCGACGCCAATGGCTGTTATTATGATGTGGAGAGGTAGAGTGTGTTGTCGTTGTGGTGTGAGCAGTTCCAGTCTGCTGGTGGTATATTCGCTGACACTCGCTTGGCTGGTAGGTGCAGCGGGAGCTGCAGCGGCGCGGCGCCGTCCGCGCTCTGACAGCCCTCTGTGAGCGCTTCGCCGCCACACCTCCCGATCGGCTGCTGGAGCTCTCGCTGGTGCAGCTGGACGCAGCGCTGCCTACTGAGGAGCGCGCCGTGGAGAGACTGGTCAGCGCGCTGCAGGTCACAGAGGTGATCGTGCCGTCACTGCACGCCGCTGTCGCCCAGCAGGTACGCTGTGCTGCAACTGTAGGGCTGTGGCGGCCAAAGGTATTTGTGGATTGATGTGCAAAATTTAATCGCAGGGCTCATCTCTAGAATTTTTGGGCCTCTTTACTTCTCAAAGTGATTGTCATTGATTTATGAATGGTGAGGCATTACCTATACACATTACACAAGGTCAGACATGTGCATGGGGCATTTCACGTCAAATCAAACACCGAAATCCGTCATCCCCTCTGATTTTTCTGAAAATTTGTAGGCTGACAGGGCATAGTTCAAAACTGAGTTACGTCTAATGTTTTCGAAACTTGATGACGTATCACTGAGATATATAGGTCATCGAATATAGCCAAAAATGCTACAATGTTCTTTAAGTTTCTCAGTGCTTGTGCGAGGATCATATTAAAGCATTTTGATAAATGATTAATGACCTTACCCTCGTAGTTTGAAAAAGTTAGATCAAAACACTTGTTTATTAATAATTTCGAGCACAGCTCTTCATCAGAATACAAAGCTAAAAATGCTTTTTAGCTTTGTATTCTGATGAAGAGCTGTGCTCGAAATTATTAATAAACAAGTGTTTTGATCTAACTTTTTCAAACTACGAGGGTAAGGTCATTAATCATTAATCAAAAATGCTACACATTAACTTTTAAATGTCTATAACTCTGGTTCTTTTTCTGGTATCGAAATGATATTAACAGGGTGTCGTAGGCAATTGATAAGGCCTTTATTTTTTGTTATAAAATTAAATTGAAGTGTCATTGCAAGTTAAACCTCCTAACTTTTAAGGTCAGGTCACCAGGTCACTTTGAATTACCGAACCTCAAGTCACTTTTTTGCAACTTTGTCACCGTGCCAGACCTACAGTAGTTGTCGGAGGCCTTTAAAAGTCGCAGGATGCTATAAAGTCAATAGTAGCTACAATTTGTATATCTCGGAATTTTGATATCGATGACCTAAGGTCAGGTCAATTTCTCAACCTCCCCATTATAAGTCAATGGGGGGAAAATTTTTTACCACTACCACTAAAACTTTACCTGTTTTTACTACTAAAACGGGTCGGAATGGCCCCGTAAACCATACATGACTTCATATACGATCAACCCTCACTACTTTGAGGTCTGTTTTGCTGTTGGGCAGCTGCAAGGTCATGTGACGTCACCAAAGGTTTTTTTGCCAATAACTCCGTACAGGAACAAGATACAGCCACGCGGATGGTCTCATTGTGTTCAGCTCGTCAAGGCGCATCGAATGACCTCGAGGTCACGTGACCTGAGGTCAACCTTTGATCTTGACCTTTCGAGGTCAACATATATATCATTCGATGCGGATTGACAAGAGGATCACGATGATGCCCTTAGTTTGTTCCTATCTTGACTAGTTCGAAAGTTATTCGAGAAAAACTCTCCATATCTAGCGCCGCCATTTTGACTTTTGACCCCTGTGACGTCATCTTTGACCTGACCTGAAAATGACCTAAGTAAAAATTGTAGACCTTGTCCGTGCGTATCCCATGCCGTTTACCGCATGTCGCTATCTTGCTTCGTTCTCGAGATCTCAGAGGGGCGGTCATCCGCCCCCCCCCCGTCGGTACGAAGTTGGCGCAGACTCCCGTCGGTGCGCGGGTTAAAACAGCAAAATCTAAAAAGCAAAAAAAAAAACACGCCACCTTCGATTTGGCTAATTTTTACATATTATGTCCGCCAGATTGGTCCTAACTATCTGTGAAAAAAATGGAGTCGGCCATTCATTACTCTAGCAGCAAACGCCGTTTCCATGCATCAACATCACGCAACCGCTCGTGACCTTGAAAGACTGCTGGTGTGTGAAAAAAATCCCTGTGTGGGGCGTAACTGCCGAGTGCCTGGCCCTTCCAATTCATTATGAAGGCTACTAAGCATAAATGACATAAATTTTAGCTCGAATTATATCATAGAGCCTAATTCCTTATCCCTTGACATTGACGACAGAATGGTGCACGAAGTCACTGAGTAAGTATGAACTTACGGAAAAGACTTCCATCACGACGATGAGCAAAACGAATGACTCTTCTGCTCTCTGTGGGAGTCAAGACATGCTACATACCTGCTTGTGTGTACACTTTCTTAAATGAATGATTGCTGATATCCCATGAAATGAAATGCTGATGCCCCAAACTCTGCAAGAACGGAAATGCATAGTAATCGTAGTCAAGCATTCACGTTACGTAATAATTGTGTCTCAGGCAAATGGTATTTCGCGGTGAATTTTGAGTCGTGTGGAAATGCATTTTATGAATGAAATTCAACTAATGCATTATTATGCAAAGATCATTGACCTATCATTGACCTCGGTACTAATAGAGGTCAATGGCAAAGATATAGCTACGAAAATCTTAACCCGCGAGTTGCTGGGGGGGGGGGGGGGAGCGTTAAACGCCCCCACTTTTTTCGCCGGGCCATAGCATAACAAATTTTGGTACCTGTAGGGAATTGATTGAAGTCTATTGTGACAAAGTTTCAAAAAAGTCAGTCGGAAAATTTTTGAGATATCGAGGTATTAATGACGTCATAATTTCTGAGTTTTCGACCAAAAACGGCATATGTTCAAAAAATCATATAAAATCACAGAATAGACATACAGACATGCCGTAAACGCCATTAGACTGCCAATACCATGAACAATCAAATGGCTATCTTCGAGTATTGATTATCGTTCCGCATTTTCCAAAATCTTGAACTAAATCTGGGCAATTTCTCGTGACCATTACACATGCATTTCTTAAATTCAAGTTTTTGAGCCAAACACGTATAGTCTCTCTTGAAAGTATCGCGTCCTGGGCTGCGGCGGCTCAGCGAACTATTCCATTCAGTTTGAGGACCCCAGTAGTGAGGTCATGGCCTGTATCATGAAAAGGACGGTGTAACACGATTATACGACAGCGGTAGAAGGAAAACTGCTATATGACGCAGGCACCAGCGGCTGACAACTGGGTTAAAACAGGTTGAGGCTGACCAGAGGTCATGCTCGTATCGCTCTCCATTGACCCCGTCCCCCGCCCCAGGCGGATACCGGTGCCTCTTGGGCTTACCAGCCGGGCGCTCATTGGTCTGCCTTAGTGGGCGCCAATCACTAATCACTCAGTGTGCGTGACACGTAAAATCACAATGAATCAAAGTTCCGCCATAACCTTACTGTGATAAGGCCTCCTGAATGACGTAAACAGGTTATGAGGGGGGGGGGCTGGTATCTAATAAGCTTTTAAAAAGAACAAATCAAACTGTTTTTATTTTGAACAAATCAAAATAAAAGCATGCGACGGCCTGTGCATGCGTTTTGTGAAGTTGTGTTGGGACTCGCTGTGTCATGTCGTCACGCACATTGTTAACTCCAGTCTTGCCTCGCACAATGTACCAGCGGCGTGGAAAGTAACTTACGTTCATCCGATCCAGAAGAACTCTAAGTCAACTGAACCCTCCAACTACAGACCCATATCTATACTGCCGACTATCGCTAAGATCACGGAACGTGTAGTTTATGAACAGCTGTCTTCATACTTCACTTCACATGACCTGTTCTCTTCTCACCAGCACGGCTTTAGGGCACATCATTCAACCGAAACAGCACTATAGTCTGTTCCATATCAAGCTTGCAGTCGGAGTTTCTTCGGCAGATCGCTCCTCCGCTCAAAATTTGCGTCTTAAAACGTAAGAGCTGTATATACAGAAATCACGCACTGCTTTCAGCAGGGCACTTCGGCTGCAAACTTGAAACGGAACAGAGTATAGTCACTATCTCTGATCGAATTTTAGAAGCCATAGATCGACGCGAAATCGGACTTCTCTGTTTGTTGGACATGTCAAAGTGTTTTGATGTAATTCCGCATGACCGCCTGCTCTGGAAACTCCATCTGTATAACGTGGACACTCGATGGTTCAGCAGCTATCTATCAGACCACTACCAGCGAGTCCTGATTCAGACACCAGATGGCGAACGAGTCACATCACAGCCGCTACTGAACCCGATCGGAACCTACCAGGGATCGGCCCTGGGCCCACTCATGTTCTCCGTCTATGCGCTCGATCTGCCTCTGCACAGGCATGACTCGCTTCCACACGCATGACTGTCAGGTGGCAGTGTTTGGACGACCCAATGACAGTGCCGCCCTTGTCCGGTCGATGGAGCTCAACTTAGACTCGCTTTCGAAATGGTTCTGCAAAAATGGCATGAAAATTAACGCAGACAAAACTCAACTCATAGTATTTGGCTCACGACAAATTCTGAAACAACTACCCACCATCTCCGTTCATTTCATGGGATCCACCGTCACCGGCTGCCCCAGTTTGAAGAACCTGGGAGTAGTTTTCGACCAGCAAATGACGTTCGCTTCACATGTTGACGATGTCGTTCGGCGCTGTACCGGCATGCTCGTCGGATTGAGTCACTGTCGCCATAGCCTGCCGCGGCAGGCGCTTGTAACGATCGTGGAGGCGCTGGTTGTATCGGTGTACTTTTGCAAGTACCAAGTGCTTTTGCGAGCACCAAGCAAGTACCAAGTACTTTTGCAGTACCAAGCAAGTACCGTTAAGTGGGGCTATTTGAGACGGTGGGGCTATTTGAGACAGTATTTAAAATCGCTATAAAATGAAGAGCGTTTGATTTTTATGTGATATTTTTGCTCAGGAAGGTGTGGAATCGAGCAGTAAATCGCCTGAGCAAAAATTAAGCAAAAAGTTCAAACGGTTTTTATTTTATAACAAATTTTAAATACTGTCTCAAATAGCCCCACCTTACGGTACCACTTTTGCAAGTACCGAGTACTTTGGCAAATGCCAAGCAAGTACCAAGTACTTTTGCAAGTACCAAGCAACTACCAAGTACTTTCCCAAGTACCAAGCAAGTACCGAGTACCTACTTTTGCAGCCTGAACAGGTTTTTCGCGATTATCAGCTTCTAGAAAGCCGATCGCCACGGGACAAACACTATTCGACCCCAAATTTTCCCCCGAACCATTTTATGGCCAAAGCGACGCGGAGCGAGCGCAAGACATCTTGTTTTTATCTATTTGTCTCGGCCGCCACATTGGTGACCCCGACGTGATCGTTCTTTATCTTATAACAGTAAATTATTGATCTTCAAGATTTTATTTATCTATTCGATGTCGACGTCTGTCCTTCGACGCGACATCAAGAATAAGAATGAGGAAATGTCAATCATCGAAACGAAAACGACATACTTCTTCATGACAAGAAAGCATCCGACCAAAACGATCACCTGAATAACAGCCGGTCAGATTTCGGGCCGCGCCGCAACCACGCCGCGCTGCCTCCCTCCGCACCGGTTCCTCAAGCTCGCTTCTCCCAAGAGCGGCTCCGCTAACTTGTGGCCTAACCAAGGTGGATCCAGGCCGCGCTGAGCCACGCCGCCTGCTCCATCGCGGTGCTTCTTATCTTCTTACCTACCTATCTACATACCCAAGCGTTCGTCAACGACATGAACCTATACGTCGCCGCGAAACGCAGAACACAAGTCAGCGAGTCGCAAGTCGCCGTCGCCGGAGTTTCCGGGCTGCGCCGTTTTATCGCCGCTCCCGTCCGACGCGGCAGGCGCTGTGCCACCATTAACCCGCGCCCTGCTGGGGGGGGGGGGTGTTTGAACACCCCCCTTGTGGTTTTTCGCAAATATCTCTAAAACGGCGCCGTTTTTGGTACACCTTATCATACATCAATTCTACACATGTTGTGAAAATTTCAGACCAAGGTCATTCAAGGTCAGGTCACCAGGTCACTTGAAGTGACCTCACCTCATAAAAAGTTTCAATGTCTGTCATAGCTACACCGAGTGACCGATCGCTTTGAAACTCTCAGCGATTGCTAAGAGCAATAGGATGTGCAGAATGTATATCTCAGAATTTTGATATCGATGACCTAAGGTCAGGTCAATTTTGCGACCTCCCCATTATAAGTCAATGGGAGAAAATTGAAATGCGCCTCTTTTGGACGAAAGACATTATAAACACTCCCAAACACCGAATTACAAGTGGTTGAGACACAATGAACATGAAAATGGTGTCCGTGACCCCTGTTTATGCCCTGAGGTCATCTTACGTCACGAATGGTATCTAACAGTTTTTCGCAAATAACTTTTGATAGAGGCATGCTAGAGCGATGAAAACGCCTTATATGTGTTTAGCTCGACGATACGGATCGACTGATATGCAGCATGACCCTTTCCAGTCAGGTCATGACCTTGACCTGAGGTCAAATTTTCAAGTTGACCTTTCAAGGTCAAGTTATAGTTCATTCGATGCGTCTTGACGAGAGGAACACGATGCCGGTAAAAGTAAGCTCGTGCAAGGCTTGGGCCAAAAGTTATTACAGAAAAACTGTTTCCGAAAAAATCGGCTATTTTTGCAGTTTTTGCCCCCTGCAGGCAAAACCGTTGACGTTAGGTCAAATCTGAGAAAATTTCTCAGAAAGGGCGTTAATAGGGCTATCGAATGCGTTTTTCCGCGGCGCTGTAGCTCCATTGGTTCCCGAGTTATGCGTTGGCTTCTTGGAAATTGTCGACATTCGACCTGGAAATCGGCGAAATTTTGCCTTCAATGACCTCTGGTGACCTGACCTTTGACCTGACCAAAAAATTGACGGAAGTGATTTCGTCATTATTTTTGACGCTCTTTCGAACGCCGCCTTCCGCGTATCGCTACGTGGCCCAGGAGCCGAGTTAGAAGGGGGGTGTTCAAACACCCCCCCCCAGCAGGGCGTGGAAATCCAGGACCCCCAGCCGGGCGCAGGTTAACAAGAGCTGGTCTTCGCCCATTCTGCATGACAATTTGTGATCGATTTTGTTTAGCAATTTACTATATCTTACTTTCTAGCTCCGCTCTGGGGCGGGGAGTGTTGTGGCGAGTTCGTACTTCCTTTTATTAGAGGTCTTTGTTCCTATTTTATCACGCCTTATTTGATTCATGTTTATTTTTTTATTGTTGCTGCGCTAGTGAAAAGCAATAGTTTTTTTTTGCTCAGAAAACCGAGTCAACGTCGATGTTGGAAATTGTTTTTAGTTCAGTGTGCGACCTACTCTCAAACTGTTATGTTCTTTACAAGATACCTATAAGAAACAGGTAGGTCCGATGTTTTGAGTAAAGCCCACGTAAAGCCCTGGTGACGTCACTGACATTTCTTATATGGAGAATTTCGCCCATAAGAAAAATATTTTACATACGAAAATTTGTTATTCATTCGGAAAAAATACATTCTATCAATTTCATCATGAAACTTATATAATTTAATTAAAAAACCTGAAATCCTTTGAGTGCTTGTCCCAACCCCTGCTATACCTTTGGTCACGTGACTTCCATGATAAACTTTGCGTTTTGCAATGTTATGACTTAAACAGAAGCAATAAATGTTACAAGCGTATTATTTATGATGTTTTAGGCAGCAATCGTATAATAACATCCTTGAATTATATACATTTTGCTTAAAAGAGGTCACGTGATGTTACCAGATTGTGCTCGGACAGCATCTTCTTGAACTTCGATTTTGAGTACTTTTTACCTTCATTGAGTCCTAATAACGGACGTTTTTAGTTATAAAATGAAGCAATGAATCTATTGAGGGCAAAATTTAATCATTTTTGCACTTTCAAGCCGGGCTATCCTGGCATGAACTTCGGCCGGTTTGTGTGTGAAGCCTATGGTGAAGGGAAAACTTCACGCCCGGCTGACGTCACAGACCTCGGCTACCAAATCGTGTCCGGTGGGGGTCGGTTCTTTATTTCCGTCTCAATATAATTATATCATTTTTATCTATTTGTCTGGGCCGCCACAATATCTCCGTCCGTGATGTTGCAAAAGATGCCAATGGTGCTTAACAATTTACAAAATGATCCCCTCTAAATATTTGTAGACCACTGCATCGAAATTATCGCCAAATTAACGAGCTAGAGCCTCGTCAAATATGCTATGTAAACCGGGTTATTAGAATTGTGGCAGGAATTGGGAGATTCGCGCCGGCCGGCCGCCTCTGGAGCAGGGACTTTTTGTAGCCCTCTGCACAGTAGCAGCTGCGGGGCCATGCACCTTAGGACCTTATACCTTAGACCTGACTTATGTCCCATGACAAAGTGGCCCTCCTTAGCAGCTGCAGATACCTATTGGGCAGTGGCACTCCAATCGTTTTGAAAAAAAAATGGGCACCCTGATGGGATGACTGAACTGTTTGCTTTGTTGCATCGGCAGGCGCTGCGTCGTCTGGGTCGATTGCGCGAGTTTCTGGGCAGCCAGTTCAAGTCTGTGCGGCACATGGCGGCCCGATGCATGGCCGCTTACGCCCGGCTGGACCTGCATGCCACGCTGACCTCGGTGGTGCGACACGTTCTGCCGCTGCTGGGTAAGTGGCTGGGTGTCAGAGATGGAGCTCCCAGGTGGGGTGGGGGGCGACTGAAAGGGTCAGGTCAGGATCCTACTGAAATCGAGACCAGCTATATCAGGGGGTCAGGGGTGTTCCGACTTCCGAGTAGTACTATTGGTAAGATAAGGGTCCAGGCGACTTATAGGTTTGATGCGGTGAATACCCCCACCTTCGCCACACTCGCTCGGTGCTACGGAGCTCCGATCTCGCGACCAGTCACCTGTACTTGTAGACTGTGCCGAATGACAGCAGTTGAGCGGGACAGTGGAGCTTAGGCGGAAATTAACGCCATGTTGGACAGAGAAGGACGCTCATCATTCCGGTGGGAGGGCCGCTCGCCATTTTAACTCCATGTAGTGACTCGCTGACGATGAAAGACATTACAGGACGACACTACAGGGTTCGGCAAAGAATTTGTTAACTACCTATGAAAACACCTTCTGGTTCCTAATCGTGTCTACACCTGAGGGATGACGATTCAGGCTGCACTCCTGCATTGCACGGTCCTTGGCCGCAGGTCATGAGGTGGCAAACGAACCTCGGGTCACGGGTCACCGAGCTACGGCCAGTTTCACACAGATTGTCCACCTGAACGGCTGCGTCGCTACGTGAAGGTCTGAAATTGTTATCAAGGGAGCTGAACCAGACAGTCGGCGTGTTCCAGGCCGAAATGACACAGCGTGCCATTGCTGATCAGTTGGGACATCTGCCAGTTGTTTTTGTTTGCAAGGCTTTTAGCTTAATTATGGGCGAACTGCCTGCACAGACCGGTGTTGGTGGGATAAGCATACAGCTGCTGGCAGCGTTGCTGATCGTTCCAATTTGCAGGCAAGTGCCCACCATTTCAACAGTTACAGAAATCGCATCGAAAAAGGCGGCCGGGAGGAGGGGCCAGCAGTTAGCGACAAAATTGGCCAAACGGCTCGCGCTGAAGGGCTATCACATCTCCAGACAGGATCTTGAGGCGCTATTGGATGAGCTCTGCGAGGCTCATTACCTACCTTCGGCCCAATACTAAGTCAACGTCTGGTAAATGGCATGTCGACATGCATTTTCAAACAGGACGGCGCGCCAGCTCACCGCTCTGCCAAGGCCTAGCGGTGGTGCGAATTGAACGTGCCGAACTTCTGAAGGAAAGAGGTGCTAGCCGGCTATCATCCGGACCCCATCCTGATCGACGAACTTCGGGCTATCGTCCAGCAGGACCTGGACAAAGGGAAGCTGGCGGCCAGCCTTGGCGCCTTGTCGTTACAGCTCAAACGGGCATGGTAAAAAAATCCAGCTGTGTTTACCTGCACAACCTGGTTACCAGCATGCAAATTTGCGTTCGTATGTAAATCCCTGTTCGTGGGGAATAAACTGAATGCCGAAGAGAATCGCAGTCTTTTATGTAGCAACCTAGAAAGCACATTTTTTGAGAGGATAAAACTTATGCCGGGCCATGTAGCTCACGCATCATATATTGCATATAGGCGCAGTACGCCTACTGTTAACGCCAGACCCCTTGAGACCCTAATTTTTCGCGATTATTTTTAAGTGCGTGGAAGAATTTCAACCAAGCTCAGGACATGGCCGTTTCGAGACCTGCCGAAACTTTTACAATTTAGATATTTTATCGCCATTTCAATATTTCAGGCACTTCTCATTGACTCGTAATGTTAAATTTCGAGCAAGATTTTCACCCAGTGTGTAGAGGCTATCACCAGTCAGTCTGTGATACGTTATGACGTCACAGCTAAGCCCCGCCTGTGTGGTCTTGGCCTGCGGCGGTTTCGGGCCGGCGCGCGCTGTCACTCTCGCTGTGGCGGGGAGCGGGGACGGTCGAGCGGTGCCGAAAGCCGGCGGAGTTGTGCGTAACGTCTTGGCTGACAGTGCCCAAAGAGCGACATGATGACTGAGGAGCCATAAATGCTCAACGCGCATTGCTTGTACAATGCTGATATGTTCGCTGATATTTGTTTTATTTTTTACAAGCTGCAGATGACTGGCAGATGGCATACCTATAACTGACATAAGGTTAGGAAATATTCACCTGTATTTAAAGCCTATGACGTTGCAGATAATGCGATAATGGGATGTCGGATGTCACCAAGTAGCTGCCGATTTGTACATCGCTATGCAACCATCGAACAACGCAATAATTAGTTAATTGCTTTCGCTTCACATCACAAGGCTCGCTCGTATTTCAAACAGATATCCTACATCGAAAATCGTATTTGTTAGGAATCGTTAACGTTTGTTCGAAGCACGTGTGAGTAGTAGGTTGAGGAGTGATGGTCTTCTTGGTCATATAGGTATATAAGAGTCAACAAGAGCCTAACATTTACTTGACCGTCTGCTGCAATTGATTCATAGCACGTGAAGCGTCAGCGAAATTCATAGTCCTTTACAGATGGCAGGGGTGTCGTTTGTACAGAGGTCGCTGATGGGCACGGGTCAATGCCGCAGTCGTGGGCGGAGCCTAATGTCATATGACGTATGAAAGCCTCTATCTAGGATGGAAAAACAGTTAACATTACGAGTCAATGACAAGTGCCACAAATATTTAAGTGACAACAAAATGTATTTGAAGGAAAAGTTTCGGCAGGTCTTGAAACAGCTCCTTCCTAAATATGATTAAAACTATTCCACGCATTTAAAAATAATCGCGAAAAATTAGGGTCTCAAGGGGTCTGGCGTTAACAGTAGATTCTCACAGATTCACCGACTGACTCAGCGGCGTATTTAGAAAATCGCGAAGGGGGGGCCAAGGGTTTGGAGGGCGCCACCTCACCCAAGGAGGGCGCCATACGGTCGCGAGATAAAAAATCGCTCAGTGGGGGTTGGGGGGTTGGGAGGCGTTTTTTACCATGCCACCAGTTTTTTTTTGCGTAACCTCGTATAGGTCGTGCTGCATTGATTTTGCATCGTGTGTATTCTTTATACTCCAGGTCACAAAAGGTCAAGTGTTCTTGAAATGCTGCGCCGAAGGCGCGCGAAATTTTTGAAAACAACCATTTCCTCCGCTTTTTAGGCACGCCTTTTATACGATCACTGTTCAAAGCTCCTCTCGCTCTTTTACCAAATTTGAAGGTGTAAAAAATACCTAAGGTTTGGTCGGGCCGCTGCCACACAAACTGTACAGAAAGCTTGGCTCATGGGTGTCGATGTATAAAAGTTTATTGGCGGTGGCATATCTACGCACCAGATCACCGTATCGGATTGATACCGGAGCGCGAGATGCGTAAACATCATCCAAATTACCTCAGACCAGCCTTCATAGCCTTCTCACAGATGCATACAGTGTACCCACATAGCCAGTTTCAATCACCGAAACTTCAGATGCCTGCTGTTGCGCCTGAACCTGTTGACAATACTTAATCGTAATCCATATAGATGCCATGATGCACGTAAAGTAGGATCAATCCGTTAAGACCAAAGACGTGTTTTATGCATCGTAGAGCGTAGATAGTTTTGGTAGGTATAGATACTTCATTCATTGTGCTGAATGCACGTTCATTTATGGCAGTTTTCACAGGCAAGACATCAACTATGTGCAATAGAACGACTGAGTTGAAAAACATGCCAAAGGAGTAAATAAATGATAGGAGGGCAGCGATCAACGGATGTTGCCAATAGGTAGAAGGGCTGCGATCCACAGGAGGGCACTAATAGGTAGAAGAGCCCCGATCAACATCCCGAGTTTCGACAGTAGGGCACAGATAGGTAGGAAGTTGGCGAGCAGCAGGAGGGCGCCAATGGATAGAAGGGCAGCGATCAACAGGAGGGCACCAATAGGTAGGAGGGCGCCGATCAACAATCAACAGGAGGGCGCCACCAGGTAAGAGGGTGGCGAGGAACAGGAGAGCACCAATAGGAGGGTGGCGATCAACAAGAGGTCGCCAATAGGTGGGAGGGCGGTCATCAACCGGAAGTCGCCAATGAGCGGAAGGGTGACGATTAAAATGGGGGTGGCAATGGTGAGGAGGGCGCCTTTGCTCAAGAGGATGACACGAACAGGAGGGCGTCTGTGCGGAGGGCGCTGGTCAACAGAAAGGTGCCAGTGGATAGGAGGGCGGTGATCAACAGGAGGGTGCCAGTGGTTAGGAGGGCGGCGATCAACACGAGGGCGCCAATAGGAGAAGGGCCCCGATTAACATTCAACAGGAAGGACTAGGGAACCAATAGGTAGGAGGGCGGCACTGAACAAGAGGGTGCCAAAAGGGAGAAAGGCGGCCTTCAAAATTTCACATGAGGGCTCAATAGGTAGGAGAGCGCCAATAATTATGAGGACGCCGATCAGCAGAAGGGCGGCAATGTGTAGCAGGGTGGCGACCTACAGGAGGGCGCCTTCGGGTGAGAGGGCGCTTATTTACAGGACAGCGGCTTACATAGGCGACCACCGTTACGCTTAGAGAGCTACAGCCTACAAATGTGGTTGGAGGGCGCCCGAGGGAGCCCTCCAACCGTATTTGGAGGGCGTATTTGGAATGGGCGTCCTCCGAGGGCGCCCTCCATCCGTATTTTCCCTGTAAACACATTCGCGATTGGAGGGCGCCCTCCAGTCGCGATTGTTTTTCGATTCGATTATATCACAATTGCATTTGCGATTGGAGGGCGCCTTCGGCGCCCTCCAATCGCAAAGGGGGGGGCCATGGCCCAGTGGCCCCCCCCCCTGCCTACGCCCCTGGACTGACTCATGCTAATGTATTGTAGCACGGTTTTAAAGTCAGCCATATCTGGCGCACTGTCAACTTTCAGTGTATGAACACAGACGCAACAAAGCATACAAAGCCTACTCATGACGCACAAATTCAGTTCCCTAGCTCATGAACTAACGTATAAATAACAATTAACAAACAGATGACTCTTACCGACGGTTTGGGCATGTGAGAGACATAAAAAAGAGGCGGCAGTCGTCCTTGCCGCCATCAGCGTGAATGATCCAGAATTATGGCCGGGCATAGAGCCAGGTGGCACGTCACACAACTAACGAGTACTGAGAAGTATTACAGAAATTGCCTTCTAACAATACGCCAACGAACAATGAGCCATCAAATATTCAAACTATCAAATAATCACGCGATACATTTCAAATTAGTCGTTAACGACAATCAACATACAAATGATACAACGGAAAAACGCAAAAGTACAGGGTGTCCCGAAATTGATGTCCTCTCCCGTTCGTTACGTTTCCTCAGAGCAATACCGGTATACCAATGGCGCTTTACCGGGACCCGACCCTGGGGCACGGTCACGTGTTTGTTGGTCACGTGACCTAGCCAGGTGAGCCGACCCAGGACCCGGCGGGGCGGCAGAGGTCATTTACCGAGAGGGTCGCGAGGCGCGCGGACTGCATATCAGCCATGGCGAAGGAGTACCCTTTGTCGACTCGCTATCGCGCTGTCGGCATGGTCAACGGCGGCACGCCCCAGGTACAGGTAGCCAAGGAGCTAAGGATAGAGCCCAGGACCCTCAGACGCTGGATGGCCCTCGACCGCAAGGGAGATGCACTGGAGAACCACGGGGGAAGAGGGAGGAAGACAGCGATGAGCCGGGTGGCCAAAATCGTGGTGGCGAAATCCGTTACGAAACGGCACCAGTCGACACGGAAACTGGCGCGGAAACTCAGTGCAAAAAATCATCCGGCCTCCAAGTCAGCTGTCCACCGGTATCTGCGGCA